GAATTATTTATAAATTACTGGAAATTAGAATAGAAGAAAAAGTAAAAAAGATATGAGAAAGACGAAAGAGAAGGAGGAAGATGAAATCCATACTTCTGTATGCCTGCCTCCAACCTTCAGTTAATCGATATTTGAGGATGTAAATATAGTGCGATCGATAATAAACGAAATATTGTGCACGACGATACTTTATTTAAATATTCAAGAATTCATAGTCATAAAGAACAGATCCTTTTTGTGATTAATGATAAGAAGAACAAAGACAATTCCAAAATCAATAATGCGATTAGCCTTAAAAAAGTAGTTAATTCTTTTTGTTATAACATAAGAGCATGTTATTTGTTTAGAATTAATTATATGCGCCATCTTTAATGGAAAAGAAGTAATGGCATATTTTATTCTTTATCAGCATAGTAAACGAAATGAGCATGATATGATTGCAGTAAATTGCGCAGTAATCTCAAGTCTTTTAGAGTCAGAAATGTTTGGTGATGAAAAAGGTGTCTTTACTGGAAGCTTCTTAATTCCACCTGCTAAAATCCCCAATATGCTGATCAAGTTCTCGATGCCATATTAGGTTTAATCATTGCCTTTCCGATGCAATATTTTTGTTATACTGATTGAACCTCAGATTGAAGAAAATATAGGAGCAACAGCCGAGGTTATGAGTGACTTTGACTGTTGTAATTTACGCATAGTCAATTCTCGAAATGGGTGACTTATACATAAATCGATTGCAGATGTGTTGAATATGATCGCTGATAGAACGGCAAAATTTTTTTTTAATGTTCCATTAATTTTAGAAAAGGTTATGGCTTTAAAAGAAGTCAAATTAGATAGATATCCTTAATCTTTGGCCTTTAGTTCAGGATTATGCTTTTTTATGGGAATAATACCAGGCCTTCCTCTAGTGCCATTTTTTATAGCCGGATCAATCAATCATGGCGGATGCTTCTTTTTGACTTAATAAAGTGCAGAAACAAAATACTGTCAGTTTATTTGATACGTCAGCTACTGTTTCTTCGATTTCAAGAACTGAAAAGAGTATTTCATCACTGTGATAATATCAAATTTTTCTTTTTCACATTCTCAAACCAATTACTTTTAATAAATTGCATTCTGCCATTCACCTCTAGCCTATCTGTATTAGCTTTCACTTTTTCAAGGCCTTTCAAGGCTCCATTTTTTACTTCCTCACAATAATTACAAACATCATTTAATAAGTCTGATTTATCTACTACGAAAATCTCTAAAATCGTCATTACGAATATATTTCATTATCCATAGCCTTCATCACAATTTTCTTGTTAAATAATTATAGTAGTAGCACCGAGATATCGCCATGAAAGGCGGCTATTTATTATTTCCCTCTAATTATTCACGGAAAATAAAATTGAATAATGAGGTTTTGCCTAAAAAATATATCTTTTGTTGATAGATACTACTACATTTCTTAATACATCAGTAGTTGCATGAGAGAATTGGCAAGATTAACGCCTAAATTTGCTGCACATTTATAATTTGATAAAGTGTTTTCCTATTTTGATATGTTAAGGCGATATGGATCCATCATAGTTTTGATTGCTTGCGATACATTATCAAAATTTAACAGCGACCCTCCCATTTTCCATCATTAAAATATTATTAACGCTACGGTTTTATTTATTTGCTGGCCATTATGTAATAGAATTTTTAGTTTCATATATTTAATATGCTTTTATTTCTTTTTCAACTCCTGTCAATTCAAAATGGAAAAGATCATAAAAGATGCGAGAAACTTTGCAATATTATTAGATAAAAGGAAAGTTAATTTCGAATAAGATAAAGAGCTGATTGATGGAAGATCGCCTTTTATAATCTCATTAAAAAATTTTTTTAACTTATTTAAAAATTTACCTACATTGTTACTTCAAAATTTTCAATTGCGTAGCATAGCGTAGTGTGTATGGTTAAGCGTGGTTTTTAAGCACTCCTCGTAGAATTCTATTAGAATTCGCCGTTTATTACCTTTTTGCTACTTCTCTTATCATCCAACCAACCGTTTATGAATCAGATTCTTTTTATCATTAACAAGCAAATGTATAATATTAAATGTCCATTTATTTCCTCTTTACGAATAAATAACAACTACTCACCGCCACCATAAATCTTCCGAATTTGCCAGTTGAAGCAAAATGGAGCGATCTTTATCTCATAAGTGAGCTCCCATAATTAAATGAGTGGTATGCTTTTCCTGCCTTACAGGCTATTAAGAAAAGAAGTTTCTTCCTGAGACGAAGAAGTTGATATAACTATTGAAGAAAAAGATTTAAAAACGTTTATAGAGCAAATAGTGGAAGTGGGCAACACGTTGACATAACCGATAGTACCATTAGGATAGCGCATATTCCAACTGGAATAGTGACTTGTCAGCAGGATGAAAATTTTCAACATCAAAATAAAGTTCGAATATTAAAAATATTGAGAATTAGACTTTATGATGCTGAAATGATTTTGTGCATTTGATCTTACTGAAAATATCGTTTCCAGGTCATGTAATTGAGATTCACTCTTATAAATTCATGCCTTATAAATCAATCCCACTGCACAATGCCCCTCCTATTCCAAGATTTCTTCAAAATGTTTTTGAGCAATTATAGCGGCTGTATCCTTCATCCGTCTCTTTCTCTTATCCGTAGGCATCTATTTTTATATGGATTTTGCCATTCTTACAACTCAAAACTCTCTCCTAATACTTATCTTTTGTCTTTCACCTGCATAAAACATAAATTCTGTTTTAGGGATAGTGCAAACCTGTTGGTTTAGGTGTGGCAGTTGTACTTGGCACAAAGTTTTCTTAGCGAAATTCAAGATATTATTTAACTTTTCATTGGCTGAAAAAATATTATCAGAAGTGGAGTATGCTGTTGGATGTTGTTCACTTCGTTTTGAATTTGTCATTCCGGCAATTAGGCTGAATATTGATGATGCAGAAGAGTGTGAGCCTTGCAGTTAGCACAACTTCTATTCTGTATCATTTTAACATTTTACCATATGGAAGTAAATTTCTGGAACACCTACTCACAAAGCTTCTTTTCATCCAAAATAAGCGGTGCAAAAGTAGTTGATTGAAGATCAATAATTTCATGACGTATTTGTGCATTTGTTGAGGTCTTTGGAATAAATTTACTGCATAACATTAATGACTTTTAATGCTCGTTTCCGCTATTTAACGATCGGAATGACCGTTCGACAAGTAGGCATGAATCGTTAAAAATAGAAATTCGAATTTTAGCGATATTATTTTTGGAAAAATTTTTTTACATTAAGTGTTAGTAAAATGCTTTCTTTTTAGCTGGTATTTGGCATATTTAACAAACAGAAATCCTATGGAATCATTAATGAAGCCATGTAGGTAAATTTTCCGGATTGTAGATTATTAGAAATATTAGGTTCGGCTTATGAAAAATTAATGGAAAAATTACTTTCAAAAATTATTTCCATCTATATTGATGAAAGCAATTTCTTCATATCGAAAAAATAAATTAGTGATAGTGAGTGATTGCTGTTACATGGAAATCAGGAGCTCTGGTGGCTACGAGAGGCGCTTATGTCGTCTAACATGACGCATTTATCGAACATTTAGTCATAATTCTAACTGATAAATATCACTTATTCCAGTGCCACTAATTTCTGTTCAGGGATAAAATAATTCAAATGATATATCTATGATATAATGAAAATTGACTGATTTTTGTTTTCATTAGTTGGTTTCAGGATTAAATTGAGCTCCAAAAAATTGATCGATAAAACTTAGTTCGTCGCTTTCCATTTAAAAAAACAAATCTAGTGAATGTATCAAGTTTAAAGTAAATAAAATTGCTCAAACATTTTCGATCTGACAGATCCATTCAAAAATCAGAGTAAAGTTTACAGCTTACTTTAGCAAGTTTTGTCTACAAAAGCAATTCATCATAAAATGAAAAGAAAAATATAAGTTCTGATATTTGTTTTTGGCGTGAAGTGAATCATCATTTGGGATAACCTGATATTATCAGTTTTTTTAGATTAACAAAACAGTGCATTTTGTTTGATCATCTTATCGTATCTAAAATTTATTAAGTAATAAAAGAGAGGAGCAGTTACGTTGACACTGTAAATTTCTTGCTTCTTACTATCATTATGTAAACAATGAATGGATTGAAGGATAAAAATCCCTTGAAATTTTATGTTTTGCAAATACTTAGTAGCTAGTTTTCAGTTGAAAAAAAATCTGTTTTATCATCGTACCTGAAATTTGCATACTTAAAAACGGTAACTGTCACTATATATTACCATTACTATTACAAATTGTAGCATAGTTAAATTTTTTTATAGTCAAACATAGTGTTGTTTTTGAAATTATACTTATCTTTTTAGCCGATTTAAATTTGGCAAGTGAATTTTATCAAAATAATTTAGTTTTTTTAAAAAAAGAGGAAGTAATTTACAATTTCTTAGCGACATTGAATATTTAAGTTCCAACATAAATGTTTTATGAAAGGAATTTATTGGTTAAATTTGTTTTTGGATAGAAAATTGAACTTGATTTTCGAAGTGTTACTCTTTCGTTACCTTCGACCCAACTATAACTTTTTTAAAGTTAAAAATTGTTTTGTTTTGATATCGTTTGCTATAAAAAAAGCATACATAAAATCAATAGTAATCAAGCGGAAAAAAATTTGTAACTTTTTGCACAAAGACATATAAATAACAAATATTTCATATGCATTGTTCGATCACATATACAATTATAAACCCGTAAAAATGAAAGTAATAAAAAAGAAGGAAGCTAATCCATAAATATATTTTAATATTTTAATATTTTAAGCGGAAGTGATAAGCTTATGGCCTATCTTCACATGAGTATCATTTATCGCGAATAGTATGTCTCACGAGAATTTTCGATGAGCGTAAGTGATTGAAAAGATGATTTCGTTAATAAGGTACTGCTCGATGTTACACGCTGCGGGGATAACCTATCAAAAATTTTCTTGTGAAACATTGAAATTTCGCGTAAATTTAGTACTTTGAAGGGAGGGGCGATAAGAATGCCGCGCGATACTCGTATAAGGTGAATAATGAGAAATAAAATAAAGAGGATGTAGGCCAAGACTTTTCGTTTGTCTCCGAGCGGTAGGAAGTGCTGGCTGTTGTGGTTGCATTTTCTTCCATTGTAAGCGATCATTATTACAGAGATCACGTTGAACTATTAACTTATCGTAATACTTTATCCTACCTTGGCGTAGCAATCCTTCCTCTTTATAACAATCCGTCACATTTAAGCCATCATACTTATCACTTGATTTCTGGCACTTATTTGTTATACATAAGCGTTGATAGCCATAATTATTATGATTGATAGAATTTTCTGCTCTGCATAAATTTTCTTGTTTTTCACACGTTTCTGTTAGGAATCTGCGTGAAGTGACACGCTGAATTTGACAAAATGAGCTTTGTAGTTCGTGCTGTAAAGGAATGCCATCCGTAATGCTGATAGATTTGAGAGATTGCTCACGTGAACATTGATTCATCACTAATGAGTTAGTATGGTCCACACGTAGCTTTCTTGCTCTATTCCACATCGTTTCAACATGCCAATACCAATGCCAATAGATATACAACTAAAGATGCCAATAAATAAATGAGCGATAAGATCATCCATCTATCCTTTGCACAAAAAAAGGATCTCCTTACATATCATAACATTGTTAGAAGGGTAAAAAATCGTTCAAAAAATTTGTTTAACTTTAATTTGTTGAAATTTATTTGCTCCAATTTTTTTCAATAGTAATGAATTACTATTTCAGTTGTTTCTTCATTTCTCAAATTTAATAATTTAAAATTGTACAATGATAACATAAAAGAATGATGAAATAATGAGAAATGATACCAACAAAAAGTTTAGTGATGCTCCAGCAGCATAAATTAACACTGGAAAAAGTGATGCATTGTTTTGATCATCTGTAAGTAATGGTAGTACTCTTGGTAGAGCAGCCAAACTTAAGATCAGCAGACCGATACCATAGGCACTTTGCTAAAAAGTTACGCAGATTTTTATATAGGCAATTAGCGAAAAATTTTCAACTATCCACTACTATAGTTATCGAAGAAAAAATCACAAACTATTGTCTTCTTCAATTTGATAGAATAATATTACCTGGATAAGGAGAGGCCATAATGAGTAAGGCCTTGGTCTTGCTACGAATGCAATTGGCAAGCAAATGACAAAAGCGAGAATGTGACATATGCACCACATACACCGCCCATACCCGCCATCCAGAAGTTGTGCCACGCAACTATCAATACCCCATAATGAATGAAATAAGCCGATATCAAAAATGATGATATCTACGCCAACAAGCAAAATTGGTTCTGTTCCATTTATAAAATCACAAAATAGTATCTGGAAGCGATCTAAGTTAAAGTTTTGATATTCTCATCTTTCAGTCCTTAATTTCAGTTGAATAAATTATTTCAGGATAAGGTTATAAACCATATGAAATCTGAATAATAAACTTATTAATTTGAAGACGGAGTGCCAATTATTTATTTCCTCATTTCACTTCTCGCTTGTTTTCATAGATCTATTTTCAGTTTGCAAAGAAACATTTTCCTCAATCAATTTTCTTTGTTTGCTATCTTCATCTGAAGTATTTTCGATAAATTTCAAATATTTGTTATGAGAATACCTGATTGTAACGAAAAAGTGAGAAGAAATGCTGTGCCATAGCCCAAATGCAAATAGCAAGTTGCACTAAGCCAAGATAAAGTGAAATTTTCGAATTGAGATAGCGATGTCCCAAAATCTTGGAACTTTCATCACGTATCACCAATAGCTTCATTAGCATAGTAGTAGTTATCAGCTTGCAACATTCATCATTCTTTTCTGCAATTTTAGATATTAGCATATTAGCAGCAAAAGAACGCATATATATGAAAAGTTGAAGAAAAAAGCATTCGACTTTTGATGGATACGTGTGAATAACAAATATGAATGACAATTAGGATGAGTTAAATGCTAAATTCTTCAATTTGACACTCAAAAAAATTGGCCAACAAAATTTGAAGTGTACTTTATTGACTTGGAATTTAATCGATTTTAAACAAATTTGACGCATTTCTATTTTATCTTTATGTTTTTCGTATTTAATTCAATCTTTAAACTATGATAATACTTCAAAAAGATGAAATGATATTGAAAAAAGGAAAGTAAAGTTTATCCTTCCAACTTCGAATTGACTTGTAAAGTTGTGCAAGGGAACGTAAAAAATTGCTTTATTCGAAAAACAGCAAGTAATTCATTTCTGTTGGAATATGCTATTGAAAATTGACAAAAAATTTCAAAAGAAAAAAGCTTTCAAAACCATTTCAAAATTAAGAAATGTAAATGAAATGATAGACTTTCTTATCTTCTTTTCTCAATCACCAATATAAATTATAAGGAATGATGAAGCATATTTAATGACAAATTTTGAAATTCTACGAATTTGTTGAAAAAAAAGGAACAAATGTAAAGTTATTGTAGTAAACAGCATAAATCGATATTGATTGATCAAATGAATTGATAAATGAAAATTAGATCCGTAAGAAGGAAATTGTAGCAAATTAAATGGAATAGTTTTGATCTTCTTTATTTATACAAATGATAATTAACGATTAAATGATAAAAATTGCATTAAATTAGAACAATATTTATGTTCCAAATAACGAAAAATAAGGAAATTTGGAAGCTTTTAGTGCTACAATTTTGAAACCGAATTAGTTAAAGAGAAGCTATCATATATTTAAACTTTCTTCTATTATTATTCATTGTTAACTTTAAAGGACTGAAATTGATGTAAGTGACATAAGGACCAAAGTGATATCAATTTTTCTAATCATTGATAAAAAGTGATATCTATTGATCATATTTGCTTCACAATTGATAATGTATAAGATGTCATGTTTGTTGATTAATAAGTAAAGAAATCTCTACGTTTGCTTGAAACTTTATTCTTAAAGTTTCTTCACATTTTAACACGTAAGCAAATTTCAAGTGCAAAGTTTTTATTAAAATGATTTTTCTATTATGCTTTCATATCATTTCATAACACTTATCCTTCATGTTCAAAGACTTCAAAACTACCAAAAGAAGAAGTGGTGAAAAAAATTCTTACCAGTGGTTTATAATTCATAACTTTACGTTAATTATATTTGTATCCAAAGCACTCAACAAAATCATTGTTTTGATAGTGAATGATAATTGGTTTTGATTAATGCTAATTAATTTTTGCAAATAATAATTATTTTTTCTTTGACATGACGATCATTGTAAATTGATAAATATTCCAGGAAATTTGTAAACAAAAAAAGCAATTTTAGGATTATTTTGGTTCATACTTAGAGTGAAGAAACTAATCGCCGCTTATATCAGAAGTTTCATGTTCTACCTCATTGTCGATGAGATAGTTATCACTGATCTATTGATATGGCTGGCTATAAGTTGGAGGGATATAATTTTAAAATCTCAAAAATAAAATTTTTTGATATCTTCTAAATATAAAATCATTTCATCTAATTTCGATCACTTTTTCAACCACAATTTCGACCAATAAATGATAATGATTTAAAATTAATTTTTCATTAAAGTGATAATAATAAATTTGAAATGAAATCTTAATTAAAAGCATTAATAATCAGTTAATTAACTAATATTATTTATGATTTTTATATTAATAAATTTCGAATTGTCATAAAATTGCATTTGAGAAAATGTGTAAACAAAATGTAAATATTGAAACTTTTTTTTTGTATGAAAAGATGTCTAAAACGAATTTCAAAATATATGTATGCATTTGTTTGAATGTTGAAAAAGGAAAAAAGCGATCGCAATTTATAGCTTAACTCTTTGTTTATTGCGCCTTAAAACAAAATTTAAAATAAGGATTGGTTAGGCTGTAAAATTCAGACATAAAGATTATGTAATAGAGTAAGATTCTTGAAAAGCTAAGCATTTTAAAACACATGAGAATATGTTAATAAAAAAAAGATCTTCAAATATATAAAAATGTTTGCGTGCCTGCTGGGCCATAGGCCCATATGAGATATTAGCAAACTAGGAAATCATTGTTATGCCATGTCATACGTACAAATATATAAATTAACGAAAAACTTAACCATAGATTTGAAATCAAGAAACTTGACCGGTAAATGAATGTCATTGTGAGCTAATCGATATCGATAATCAAAGAAATCGCCAAACTTCTTTTGAAGTATCAAACTCTTTTTGATCGGTTTGTAAATTGTATACGATAACTGGTGACAACTAATTCGGTGATTGAATGAAAAAAGCTCCATCAATGCTGGACTTAGATAAAAGGAAGTATTGATTTTTTGTTTTATTGGCTTGTAGCTAATAGTTTTCTGAATTTAACAAAACGTTAATAATTCAAAAACATGCTCAAGAATGATAACATGCTACTGAAAACACATGTGAAAAGTTCTCCACAATAATTTCTGAGCATATCCCAGGCAAGTAGAGCTTCAGAAGTTGGATAAATGAACTTTGAAATTATATCTCTAATCAACAACTACTTTTTCAAGTATCTCGACAGTTTTTTACAGTGGAAATACTTCTCAAGCCAATAGAATGCAGAAAATACTTTCTAAAAATTGGTCGAATTCAAAATATGGTTCCTTCACTATGAAATACTGTATGGATAAGATTTGAAAACTATGACAAAGTTGAAAATTGAGTGAAAGGTTTTGAGAAGTGGTATTGATGAGATCGGAAATAATTAGTTAAAGACACATTATGAATAATAGCCGGAACTGTAAGTCATCGAGTGATCCATTCACTTCATCGTAAAATAATTTGGAAGCTTACATCAAATATATATTTAAAATATAACTTTTCCTCTTCACTATTTGACAACTTTTAATTATTAAAAGCGATACCTTAAATTGTTTATCGTCTGATAAACTGCTATTATCGTCCATATTTTTTCAAAAAAAAGTCATTTAATTGTTAGGAAATGATGTCAAACTTTTTTCAAGAATTAATCTGCAGAAATATGATAGATATAATCTGTAGAAATATGATAGGTCAGATTGTTTAACTTATATCGATCATTTGCTTACTCTAAGGTCATCCTTTGCTTATCGTCCATTCACTTATTGAGAATTATTATATTAAAATCAATAAGGAAATGGAATATATTTCGATAGATTCAATTTTTTTCTAAAAAATTTTGTTTAAGCCAAATTATGCAATGAAAGTAGAAGAAATAAGTAAGAAGAAATGATTAGGACTAAGTGAAATAAAAATCGATCAAATTCGGAAGATAAACGGATCATAGTATCGTTTAATAAATTATAAATAAAGTTGACTTTGATAACTTTGTAATAAAATAATGTAAATTACAAATAATTGGAAAATGATTTAAATAATTTCATCAAAAATTCAAGCAAAGTTCAAACTAATTTAATTTAGAGGTGCAGATTTTGTATAATGATTATAATATAGCATAATATTCCAAGCATTTTCAATTTCTTCTGATCTTTATCACATAGTGTCTAACAATATTTCGATAAATTCAATTTCTCTGTTTCCCTTAATTACCAAATAATTTAATTTTCTTAGCAACCACACCATCAGTAAATTAATTCATTGCGTCTTACAATCAAATTCATAAGAAAGATATGTATGATCATTTATTCCATCAAATCTTCAACAACTTATCTTTCTTCTTATATTTTAAAACTAAGGCCATAAAAATCTTTTTATTTCTTATACCTTGAAGAAATTTGAATTTAATATCACTAACTGACACAGTTTGTAAAAACAAGCATCGATATTCTTAGCTAAAAGATAATGTTATTTCTAACTTCGATGATAGTTAAATAATTATTTCAATTTAAGAATTTAATATACAAAATTAAAACACTTTTACTTATTTCCCATTTCCTTTTACTTAAAAAGAAAAATGTAACTTTTCTTCTGAAAGATTTGCATGGATTTGCATATCGGTGAATGTTTTCTACATTTTTTGCTAATTCTCATAGAAAGAAATGCTTTTAAAATCGTTCTGAAAAATTCTTAAATATTTCAATTTGTTAGAAAAAGAAAAAATTTGTTGAGAAATTGAAAATTATTTTAATATTATTTTATATTTTTATGATATTTTAATTTCATTCGTTCATTTCTTTCCAAAAGCCACGATAATATTTGCATAGCGCTGCTTTACAATTTAATATTTCAGGTAACTTACAATTTTAGGTAAGAAGAATTCACAATTTCATTATTATATAATATTTCGATCTATAAATAAATCTCTCCATTTCTTTCTTTGATTTTTCAAATGGAGAAAAATAGATTTACAACTATTAATTGATAATGCAAAAGAAGCATATTGTGCAGCATAATATTTATTCTCTAGTCAATATATGTATCATCGAACATTGGAAATGAAATGACTTGAATTACAATATTTTAGTTGTTGTAAATTTAAATTAAGTTGAAATTAAACAACTGAAGTTTGAAATAATTTTATTCCAATTTCACTAGCAATCCTGTATAAATCACTAATTTTATTAAAATTAGGCACTGAAATTAAGCGTTTAATTTGATTTTTATTAGAACAAAAAACAATTAATTGCAAACAGATTTGCTTATTTTTGATTAAAACCATAAAAGAAAGCCTAAAAAGAAATGATATTTTTTGCATAATCACTGATATGCAAAAATATTATTAGACACAATGAAATCAAAAAATTCTGTTTGATAAGTTGACGAAATATTTAAATTTCTTTATTTTGAATAAAACAATTAAGTTTCACTAATTTATTAATTTTTGCTTGCTTAGCTAATAATTACAATTTGCGCTTTTTTGTTCAATGAAATAAGAAAAGCTTATTTATATGAGAATAATTAAGGAAGTTGAAGAAGGATGATCATATTGAAACGATAAATATAAAACAATCTGTTAACTGAATCCATTCATTTTCTAAAAAAGTAAGTTTAAGAAGTGATTTTCAATAATCCCAATTTTCACACATTTTCTTCATCAATTGTTTTCATTTTTACTGCGTCTATTTCACAGATTAAAGGTTAATAAATAAAAAATTAGATAAACAACGAATTTCACAAACATAAAATGTTTACATCAAAATGATTAGTCATCGAAATCTCTTAATCATTGAAATGATATTATGCTAAACATGAGAAAATTATATTTAATAACTAAATTTTTATGAAATTTATTATAAAAAATGCTTCAATGTAATGAAAAACTTACTTATAAAGTAAAAACAAAGTTATATTTTACAAAACAATAAAATAGAAAATTATTTAACAATAATAAATTCAATTTTATTCCATTTTTAAATAATAATAAAGCATATCGAAGCATTAATATTTTGTTTACTAAAACTATTTATTAAAACTGTTACTGTTTACTTTCCAAACTTTACTAAAATTATCCTAAAAATTAGCTTTAAACGAATTTAAAGCAATTCATTGCTAAATTTAATAATAATTAAAGCTAAACTTAAACGATTTAGTTGTGAAAAAAGATTTTTTTGTTTATAAAAATAATTACTTTAATTGAAGCAAACAAACATCGAATAATAAAAATAAAATTCAGAGAAGTAAATGTATTATTGGCAATCATTTAAATTTCAAAATATAATGTCACATTAAACCTTTAGTTGCTTTATTAAAATATTATCTATAATGAAAGGAAACTGCTACTTTCATCAACAACTAAACATATCTTAACTTAAGCGCCGCTATATGAGCGATACATTAGCGCTCAATGCTACAAGCTTGTTGATTCTTAGAATAAATTTATTATTACAACTTTTTAATTATTATTATCATCATTAATAATATCTTTGGAAGAAAAACTTTACTTTCAAAGTAAACGAAGTAACTTTAATTATACCATAATATATTGAATTTAGTTAATTCTACTTGAATTATATTGATCTTCAAAATAATATTACATTCAATATTACAATTTTTATTCAAAAATTAAAAATAATAACTGAAAAGAAAAAGATAATAATATCCATCTTTCATGGCATTTTTATTCCGTCTTAATTTAACAAAAAATCTAAAAATATCGGTGAAAAAAGCAAAAACTGAAATATCTTAGCTTTGCTTGGTTTGGCTTAGCTTGGCTCCTCTTCTCTCTCCTCTGTAAATGAGAATAACAGGGCAATTAAAACGATAAGTCATTAAAAATACGTTATGATTAATTTTGATGTGCATACCTTTTCATGACTCATTACTTTTATATAATTATTAGGGAAGGGTTTTTACGTAGTTTATTATGACAGCTCTTTTTAATAGCAGCCAATATCAATCCATAATATTTATTTACTTCAGTGTTGCATAATTTTAAGCGAAATCTTTTGTAATACATTATAACATCGTATTTTGTAGTAAAGGATAAGGAGCGATTGATTTTATTTCACATAAACAATTTTCGCTTTTCAATTTTGCGGAGATTGCTGTTTCTGTAATATATGAAATTCTTGACCACTCAGGTTATCCAATAATAACAATTAAAAAAATCTATTATACTTCATCAAATCTGTCTCTGAGTTAGCTTATTACTTCAAACAAGTGACACTATGAATTCAATTCTTGTGGTCATTCTCGATTCACATTTTCATCTCTGATTGTATTGAATTATTGAATTTTTCCTACAAAAAGCATTCAACAAAGAGCTTGGATCGAAAAACACTACAGTATAAGTGTTGTTGCATAATGCATGCATATGTATGCATGCAAGGCATGCACAACTCTTTGTACATTGAATGGAAATGACTGAGACAATAAATATGGTTTAAGAATGGTTTTTTAATAAGAAAGAATATTCGAATTTGTCACCTTAAGATGTTTAAAATATCTTTGCTTCATTTGAATCAAAATATCGCGGGAAAATCAAAATTCTAATGAACTATTCAAAATTCTGAGAACAGTAACTTCCTTGCTTCTTCTGTCCATTTTATATGTTATTGAAGTAGAAGAAATTATAGTTAATATTATTTTATTAGTAATTCGATATTAAACTTTCGATGTTCGTTTATACTATCGACATTTCACTTTATGAAACATAAGCCTGAATTTTTTGTTTCATTATTTTAATTTCTTAATTCTTCACATTTTATTCAGTACGAGAATTCGGTTATCTGTTTCAAGTTTAAAAAAGGCTTCAAACAGGTGCCATAATATTTTCATTTATTCTTTTGATCTTCTTTACCAACAGCGCCACTTTTATTCGATAACTTTATCACTTTCTTCTCTTCCCGATTCTCATTCTTATTCCCAAATAACTGTTTATTACTTAACCGTTTATTTTCTTCATGAAATGATAGTGCGGCTGTTTTCATTCCATTTTCTGACTCATTCTATTTTTGCTCAAATAATGGTTGCATGTTTTTCATAGCTTCTGAATTGCTTCCTTTTTCATTGCTTAAAAAGTTGCTATAAATAACCGTTCATATTTTAGATTTCCGGTGGACAGGAACAGTACGATAATGTGGCCTCATCTATAGATTATACTTCATCTCCACGTTGGTGTATTGGCTTTATTTTAGTACTCACTGCTGCATATTTCATTTTTCGGTATATTTCATAGAATTCATTAGTCTTTATCAAGATTGAAAAAACCCAAATGGTTGCATAGTAAGGTTGTGTCTCTTAGTATTTCTAAATTAAGGAAATGAATTTAATTACTCCATCATACGATTAGTTATGCTAATTATAATTAAACAGGATGTTTTCTTTTGACCACATTTCACAGCTCTAATTATAACTAAGAATTTGAAAGTCAGTATTTCCTTGACTAATAAACGATAGAGAAGGAGTTGAATGGCAAACTGCTAATGTTTGAGCTTTAATGCTAAATAAGAATTGAACCATTAAAAGATTATGTCCATTACCACATTCTTTAATTGTTATTTTATTTGTAGATCTGTTCTCGGGAAGTATTTCAATGAGCAAACGAAATCACTTCATATTCTTTTTTTCAATGATGATATCACTATGTTAGTTTACCTACCATTCTTTAACCTCAAGCAAACTTCAAGATTGACCTTTATGTGTTGAAAATTCTAGTAATAATCTACAATTTTGTAATGTTTTTTTCTTCATTTTCCTTTATTTCCATAAAATATCCCTTGAAAAAATTTGTTTTTTTTAAAAGTAAGTTGATCGGCGGATGAAAATTCCAAACATATCCACAAAGGTCAAAATAGTCAAACAAACGTATTTGAAAATGAGCTAAATCAATAGAATTGAAAATAGTGACATTTGATGGACAAATTTTTACTTTTATATCCAACTAAATTGCTAATTCAGGAATGGGTCAGCACAATCAAATGTGGACCATCGATTGGATGAATATATTCACAGATACTATCCTCCAGAGATCATTACTGAATACATAGAACGAATGAAACCATTGGACGGTCATGCTAAGAAGTTAATTGGTTCAGTAAATCAATGAGATTTTAAATAATTTGCGTCTTTAATTTTCATACAAAGTTTGTTGCATATAAATGACACACAAACGAGTTCAAAAAATAAGTAAATTCTGTAAAATTTTAAATTTAAATTTACATAAGATGTAAATTTTCCATTCAAATTATCGCCATATTTAGAATAAAGATGTTGATTAGCTCATTTCGTTCTTCTATTGTAAGCTGTCGAGCGGGCGTGTCTTGCTAAACTTCGGGAGTGCGGGAAAGCGGATCACTGACATTAAACATGGTGTATGATTTCGTCGGATGTTTATGGATAAAAAATCAATTAACGACTTAAATTTGAAAATTAACTAAGATAAAATTTATTTCTCTACAGAGGGAAGATATAGTAAGTGACAGAGGATTTCTAGCTCGAAAAGGAATTGAAATTATAGTAAGCAGCAAAATGATAAAACTAGGTTCTAATACTTGCATCTCTCTCTAAAATATCAACTGGAAAATGTTTTCGTATATCCTAAAGCTGAATTGAATATTAAAAAAGAGTTCATGTTACTATAATAGAAAGGTGAAATTTTGTGAATTAAGTTTTTGCTTTTATATTTTGTGCTTAGATGATAGATAAATAAAATCCATCCGAAGAAAATATTTTAACCTGAGAAGATAAATGTAATTGTAAAGATGATCTAACAAGATTTTTAATGATTCACAATTATGCTACTTATATATAGCATAAGAAACGAAACAGAAGTCGTAACCTTTTTAATTCAATTAAGAATTTAAACTATTGTGCTTAAATTGATCATCATAAGATGACTTTTTGACGATTAATTTAGTGCATTAGTTGATTCTAAATGTTTAATCCATGGCGCTCTCATTAAGTGATTAAAATTTAGATCAACAGAGAATCAGGAAGTATCAAATCTTGTACATAGATGCAAGATAAACATTAACAATCAACCACATCTTGAAAGAAAAACAGCAATAATATGCACAATTGGTATGAAGTATTTCTGGCTAGAAAATTGGGGTCAATTCATTCTTTCCAACTCTTTGGACTGTCACTTTCCTTTGGCTTATCATTTTTCAAGAATTTCTTATGTGTTGCTTCAAATGAATACAAAGTATTTATTTTGTGTTGCTATACAGCCAAATTCCATTGATGTCATCGTTAAACGTTGAAATGCTTTAATTGTTCTCAGACGAAGTGCTAATATTATTCCTGAATAAAATTAGAAGAAAAATATTGCCATCTGTGATTATGAAACTATTCAGTCCTTTCATCAATATTTTTTCCCCAAAAATATCATGAACACAGAATATAATTTTTACTCAACACTTCCATAATTTTAATTTATTTAATTATCAATTTAATGCCGAAATTATAGGACCAGCTTGTGGAAGTGTGGAGAAATTGAAAGAAATGATATCATCGGGAATGAATATTGCTCGTCTTAATTTTAGCCATGGATCACACGAGGTTTATATCAACAATTTAAATTATGCAACCTTTGAGTAAAGACTCATAAAATTTACTCCTGGAAAAAGTTATTCAGGCAATTTTCTTAATGCTAAATAATCTTGACTGGTTATTTTTCTAGAGAACTGGAAAATTTGGAAGTTCTTAAACTAAAATTAATTTTCTTTACAGTATCACGCAACAACGATAAAAAATATACGCGAGGCAGTGCAAAGTTTTCATCAAAAACCACTAGTTGCAATTGCTCTGGACACCAAAGGGCCTGAAATTCGTACCGGACTTATAAACGGAGTTAGGCTTAGATTCTGATAAAACTTGTTAATAGTAATTGAAATCGTTTAATATAAGATATTGTTCTATATTAATGATATAAGTTTGAGAAGAGCTGGAAAAACATTGTCAAAGATTGAGGAAAAATTAAAATCTCTGAAGATTAAAAATATTACAATAATAACTATAAATTACTCTATCTATCATTCTTTCAAGTCTGGTACGGCAGAAGTTGAATTGAAAAAAGGCG